AGCACAACTATAAAGATGGTATACAAAAAAAAATGGTTGGTGTTCTATATTTACAATTTTTCAATTTAACAAATTTTATTCAAATTTAGGTTAGAAAAATGTTTTTAATAAAGTCACCCTGCATTTTAAGATAAAATGAGATAGAAAGGCACCTGAAATATCAATAAAAAGGACGAAAGCTTGTAACGTTTTATTATTTTTCTATTATTTTATTTTCAATCGTGTTATATAAGTATTCGTCATGCAACAAAAGTCACAAAAATTAATTACCAAAGATAAACGCTCACTTTAATTAAAATAGGTGTTGAATTACTATTACAATGTTGGAATTTTAAAAATTAACTTTATACCTTGGGGACGTGTTAGACCGTCGTCTTCCCTGATGTTAAAAAATTGGCATTTTTAAATGGTTTTGACGATATAATCAGTGTATTTTACTATTTATTACATCTGAATGGTTTTATGTATTTTTTTCTATTACTGCCTATTAAATATTGTAAAAAATAAAATCATTTTTGGTTTTCAAAATCTCTGCTGCAAGTTTAACCACTAAACACACAAAGAATTTCACATTTTTTATAATTAATTATTAGAACAAATAAGTAAATGTAACAGAAATTGTATTATATAATTGTATAAATTAAAAATGGCCCAAATCCCGAAACGTATTCTTTATAAATAGTAAAGGTGTAGATAATACTTTCTAGCCAAGCCAAAAAATTGATATAATAATAAACTAAGTATAAGAATGTCAAGCTTAATTAATATCCGCAGACAGATACTAGAAATTTAATTAAATCGAAAAATGAATAATCCCTGTGTTACAATTTAGGAGGAATTGTAGGTAAACGGCTCATGGAAGCTGAATGTCTAACAAAGCAATTATTATTCCAATATTAAGCCGATTTTCGGATTATTCGTTAATCTCCTGGTACAGTTTAACAAGCACATATAAAAAGATTTAAGTCAATTGACGGGGATTTTTGATGACAAGTGACTGACTTTTTTAGATTGTATTTTTTTTAAGAAATAATTTTATCAGTTTGAATATGAATGTTAATCTTAAATCCTCTGATATTGATTAATGAAATAAATTTAGTGTAATATTTTGCTGAATATGTTATACCGCAGCGAGTAAGCATTAATTCTAATTTAGGTCAAAGTGTAGGTTTTCAGTAAAATGAAATCCAGGCAGCATATCATCACTGAGATTATATTACCACGAAATTATGATATAATAATTTCCTCCTAGTATAAACTAGATTGTTTTACGGTTAGTTCTCTCATTAAAGTAATCGGGATCGTTGCCAGTAGGTGCCTAAATGGACTATCAGCGGACTTACCCTTCAGAACCGCCTTCCAAGCTAAATTATGATCAAAACACACACACACGCGCGCGCGCACACACACACACACACAAGAAATATCTCATACATAGACCATAGATGGGGAAAAATGAATCGCTGGATGAGATTTTCTGCCGCAGTCCTTTTATTTAGGTAAAAAAGGTTCATTTTCAGCGGTTTGGTCTACAAGGCGTTCTAAAATTTCCTGCGGCTGTTCGGTTTGAGAAAAATCAGAAGGACTTTGTATTTATTTTGTGCGAAATGCTTCGATCGACGAACTGCCAATTTCACGGCGCCGAAGGTATACCTCACCGTTAAGACGGTACTGCTCTGCCGGTACTGTATAACCTGAGCGCCGTTCAACTGTTTAACAAATATTGAATTACTTTCTGAACTAATTTATACTGAAAAATAAATTTAACAAGCAGTACGTGTAAATTGTTAAATGATTAAATTTATTTTGTAGTTGTTTGTTAATTTTATTTATTAAAACTTGTCCACATGCAACAATTTCCCCAAAATAATAAAGTTTATGAATTTTTTATTTTGAAGTTATTTATCAAGCTTATGATTTAGCAAAGAAAAGAACAACTATTGAAATAAATTATCACTAAATAATCGTTTTATTATTGAGATGAATTATACATGAACAATATAAACCCTTATTATAATACTTAGTAATATTATGAAGTACTAAATTTAATTAAAATTTCTTTTTTTTTCTTATAAACATCTTATAACTCGTTTTTGTAAATTCAAAACTAAAAATTTCCTTTTTTGCAATAAAGAAATTAATTAAAAAATAAAATTTAATTATCTTACAATCAAAATATAATTATAAATCAAAATTTAATTTTCCACTCTAATAAATCACGAATCTATTTTCTTAATTACGGTCATGCAAATAAAGAAATCGTATAATATTGTTTACAACCAGTTGACATTTATAAAACATTTAAAAAGACAAGGGATAAAACAATCCCTCCCGACTTACTATCTCCCACACAAAATTATGGCCATTAAATATTTCCTTACAGGAATTGCATTTAAGAAGGTAATTAAATTTAATATAAGAATACTTCCTGACAAACAAACGTGCCTCAAACCTCTCCATGAAATATTAATTCTAGTTGAGGAATGTGCTTTTAATTGTATTTAAAAAATATTTACATACGTTTGATATATTAATGTGTTAATAAAACAACCAAGATTCTATTGTTAAACACTACTCATTTATTTTACCTGGGTAGCTCCTTCACCAATATAAATGTATATTGACATTATTTTGCCAATTATTTCATATCAGAAATAAAAGAAAAAAAGAAGAGCAAGAAACCTTTGGCAACGTACTCGATCAGTTATTGACAAACAAACTTACAACAAACTTTTGAAAACATGGAAAAAATAATAAAACTATTTAAACAACGAGCATACGAAACACATTTAAAAAGCACGACAACAAAGGATGGGGCCTCTGTCGTAACACTAAACGTATCCTGCGTCATATCGTTGTCTCACCTCCTCTCAGGAATAATGATGGAACTTGGATCGATTCCGGTAAACGAAAGTTCAAACATTTGCGAATCATCTCTCCGAGGTATTCAAACCTCATAACTTAATCGATATTGAACACGATAAATTTATATTAGATCCACTTATGACACCTACACCTCTAGATCTGTCACCTAAACCAATAACTCCAAAACAATTATCACAAAAAATACGGCAGCTTCCTAAAAAAATAACCTGGTCGCGTTTGTTTAACGAACAAGTTCTTTAAGAACTTCCAAAAAAAGCTGTCGTCTTTCTAACTTCTTTATTTAACGCTGTTTTGAGAACCACACACTCCCATACAATGGAAACTTTCTTACATCAAAATGATTCCAAAGCATCATACAAATTCAAGCTCCCCATGATCTTATCGTCCTATTCGTTTGTTACCCGTTACTTCTAAATTATTCGAACAATTAATTTACAAAAGAATTATCTCTATTGGTACTTTGAACATCTTACCAGACCATTTATTTGACTTTCAAGCCCATAATTTCACTACTCATCACTTCATTTCTTCATGTCTCGAGCAGAACTGTACGTATAAAGTTTTCAATCCAACATTTTTAGACTAATTATTTCTGCCACTTCTTACGTAAACAGTAACACACTGCACAGATATTCACATGCCAACTGTTTTTTTTTATCAATCAAAATATATTGACGTTTTCAAACTGTAAGATCGCCCACCATTACTACATAGGCTACTGAAATAATATGGATAAGAGACCTCTTGAATGTTTAATATATTTTATTAGGTTTCGTGGTTCTCTCGACCAAATAAATTCTTTTCATTTAATTAAGATTTTGGTTGAGATAAAGAAGTCAGTGTCACAAGCTGGATTCGAACCCGCTACCTTCGGCTAAATACGACATCGCTCTACCACTTGAGCTATCGTGACGTCGATCCACTCGGACACTAACTTCCCATCTCAACCCCCCCCCCCTTTTTTAATTTTCCCTCCTTTTTTGCCATTTTTCAAATGTCCTGTAATCTATCTGATTCCCGGCGACAAATGAAATGGCCACGGAGAGCTTTAGTGAAGTACACTTCATTTTGCTTTTTACATTTTATTAGGTTTCGTGGTCCGCTTGACCAAATAAATTCTTTTCAATTAATTAAGGTTTTGGTTGAGATAAAAAAAGGGATCGAAGTCACGATAGCTCAAGTGGTAGAGGAGCGGCGTATTTAGCCGAAGACCATGGGTTCGAATCACGCTTGTGACACTGAATTTTTATCTCAACCAAAGCCTTAATTAATAGAAAAGAGTTTAATATATTGTTAATCAAAAGTGGCCGGCAATTGGTAACTATCTCTATAACGCTCATAATGTCACAATCACAAATTGAAATTCAATCTTCTCGTTGTATATAATACTTATACAGTTGTAGATGAAAATAACTCAAATAAAAACAGTATCAAAAATAAAATCACTCATTAAGGGGAGTTCAGCTGATGTACGATTCGTTTTCACTGCCTGTTCTACTAAATGTAAAAACATAGCATTGTAATTTATTTCTTCTAAATGTTTTAAAATAAATACATGAGCCCTGAGAGCGCAGAATAAGGAGAAAATCAGAAGTCAAGCAATAAATTTATAATCTACTTTACTATTAATAATTTAAAAATTTAAAAATCCATCTGCCATATATGTTGCATTTGTTTAAACACTTATAACATAACACACATTTTCTTTTATTTATAAACCTAAATTAATCGTTTTTACATAATACAATTTATTATATTGTATGGTAATTATTAAAGTATTGACATATTATGCCATTATTTTTGCATACTAATATAAACTAGTGTATAGATTTGTTATGAAATTGTGTTGTAATCATTATTTGTAATTTATGGTAATAAGTTGTTACTGTTGTGATTCATTTTGTTGTTTTTTAAGTTGAAGTAGAATTTGTGTAAAATGTCGCAGGTAAGTTCGTACGAACGCTTCTTAGCTTATTATCATAAAATGCAATAACAATTCTTATTTATGGTATCAAAATAGCTTTGTAACTCTTCGTTTATAAGAGAAAGCATTACAAAAATTCTGCTTATCTGTTTATATAGTCTTTTTTTAAATTTGTTGTGTTCTTTTACAGATGGTACACTTGGAAGTAAGTAAAAATATAAAATGGTCCCCCGTGTTTGCAAAATTTCTCTATTCATTTCACCTTGATCGTTAAAATTTGTTTGGCACCAAAATATTAATTGTGACTAGCTATAGCCCCTGTAGTCAAACGCTTCAGTAGAACTGTATTGGTGACCCAGCCATAATTTATTATATTATGTATCCATAGTACTACTCTCTAGAAACCCCTAGCTGTTTTTTTCCTAGTCAACGCTATGGACACATCACTTTTCATTAAAAACAACAAATTTAAACAATACTAAATAAACAGATAGAGGAATGGCCCTCAGGAGAACCGAGTTACAACATTCATTGATAAATATTGTTTTTAATTTTTTTAAATTTCTTTTTAGTCTCAGATATTGCTGAGGCATTAGTTAACATAACGATTCTAAAATTAATATAAAAATCTTAAATAAATCTTTGTGTCTCTCCCTCATCCTTTAACCTTTGACTTGATTGTTTACTTTCTTTTATCTATCTTTGGAATGCTTCATTCTTTTCTTTTTTTGTAGTGAACCCTTCTTTCTCATCCCTCTCGGCAATTTTTCAGCAATACAGGTTTTGTCGTGTCGAACAAACAAGGACTAGGTGAGCGTTAAAGAACACATTTTATGATTGACGACTCCCTTGATACCGCATGAACACGCGCTCATTACAAGCGGCTACTGCAAATTGAAAACTCGCCTCAAAGGTTTATCCAGTAACAACCGTTGCACCTGCGTTCTTTTTTCATCGAACAAGAATAGTCTACACATAAAAACCCGTTTGATTGCTGTAATTACTTTTTCCACCAGTAAAACGATGTAACATGTTCGGCATTTTTCGAGCTGAAGATTTTAACTTTTAAATAATAACCTTTACTTTGCGTTCTCCTACTAACTTTATAAATAACAAGTAATATAGAAATTGAAAAATAAAATACAGCTGACAATAGTTTATATATTGGCTTTTTGGATAACAGTAATCTGTAACAATAATCTTCAAAGAAATATATAATACTAAATAACGTAGAGCATAATGAAAACGAGCAAAAAAAAAAACAATTTGAATGAAGTGAACATTATTCCCACTTTATTGCGACATAAAACTTTAATTATCAAATGGTAATATCAATTTTTTTCAATAACGTTAATTGAATATACGGCAATGTTTTCATTTTAATTATATTTTATTCTTAAAATAATTTGATTATTCGGAAATCGTGAGATGCGATCTTGTGTGATGTAGGTTTCAGAAAAAAAAATTTATTTATCGTGCCAACGTTTCGATCTTTAATTATTCAGAAATCGTGAGATGCGGTCTGGATCTCACGATTTCTGAATAATTATCGATTAACGGTCACTAATCCCCACACGTTTCGATCTTTATTGAGATCAACTTCAGGGCTCAAAGTGTTGTTTTCTGCGTAAATGTGCCACATTAACACTCTCAATACGACATGGCACATGGCACATTTACGCAGAAAACAAACACTTTGAGCCCTGAAGATGATCTTAATAAAGATCGAAACGCTGGCACGATAAATAAAATGTTTTTCTGAAACCTACATCGCACAAGACCGCATCTCACGATTTCCTAATAATCATCGACTAACGGTCACTAATCACCACACACTAAATTTTTTTTTAATATTAAACAACACAAAATTGAACTTGTTCAAATTATCGTAACGTGTACTCAGCTGCTAATAACCTGTCGAATCTATGAACCCATTAGCAGAGAAGTTAAAAAACATACATTTAATTAAAATTCTTTACTTGATTCATTACAGATATTTTTTTAAATGTGTTTGAAAACGTAACATCTTCAGTCATTTGAAACAATTAACTATCATTCGAATAGAAATGGCACTAAAGATATAATAAACAAATAAAAAGTTCCGAATTTTTTAATTTATTCCTCTTGACATATCCGCACTCCATAAAGAATTAAAAATAAGCTAATATTTAAGGTAATACAATAAGGTAATATATACAATAATACAATATGGGACAATCGAACTTTTTTAATTGTTGTTCGTTGCATATTAAACCACTGACATTACCATTTTACCTATCGGAAAACTCACATTGCAAATCGTATTCGATAAATCAGTTCAATGCTAAAACAAATAGTTTTCCTCTTAAAAGCAAGCTGAATTTTACCAATATGAAATTGTTTGTTAATTATTTAAATTTTGAATTTTGCCAAAAAAGCGTATCATAATGTAGAAGCAACAAGTTATTAAAATAAAATCAACTTACCAGAGGTTGTGTAAGTATATCATTTTAAAGAAAGAGTTAACGTCTTACACTAAGAAAAATGAAATATTAGGATTTATTTCCAACGTGATATGAAAATGTTACATATTAACGTATATAAGTATTTAAATTTAATTAATCACAAAACAAAGTATACATGTCTTTCAATGCCGTAATTTTTTTATACCAAACATCTAACTGAGCAATTAAAATCGAGTGAAGTATGCAAAAAAATCTGTTTTTTGTCATTTGAAATATGAAATAACTTCTAGATACTAAAGAAACACATATTTCTATTTACTTAACTTTCTCGGGTATTTTTACAACTTAAAGATCTCCTGAAGGCGTAATATATTATATTAATAACCATATGTCTAATCAAAATGTAAATAGAGTATACTTTTGGGGTGTCCATTTTTTATTGTCTACATGTAATGTTCTTTCCTTTTGCTGAATTTTACATTTTTTTGACCTGTTGTTTCTTTTTTAAAATTCAAATTTTTTAATTTGCTTTCGATCTTGCACAAACTCGGCAGCTTGAATTTGAAATTAAGTTCAAGTTAAGCTTGTTCGACAAATAAACGTATTGATCATGTCAACGAGTGGCAGCTTGCATGCAATTTTAAGCTTTCTTTCCTCCTTTTCTTGTCCTTTTTTAAATATATTTACTCTTTATTCTCATCTCTTTCTATTTGCTCTTATATTGTTCAAATTATTTTTAAACGTTAAGAAACATATTTGCTACAAATTTGAAAGATGTGAGTTGGACAACAAACCAGCAAGTGGTTTAATAAAATAATGCATTTATTATTGTAATAAATTTAACGAGTTCATATTATTGTCAGGCATGTCATGCTACGTTCTTTATGAAGGAGATTTTAGTGTTATTACAGTTTATTAAAATTAATTGGCTTTTGGTGAGGGCATTATGTTATTAATCTTGGTTTGCAGTATTCAATATTTTAGCTTTCTAAACTCTTCACAACAAATTCCTTATAATTGTTTTGTGTTAATTCTGGTTTTAATGTGTGTATTTGAATCTTTCCTCAATGTCATTTAAATTAGATAATATATTATTTAGTCTACATGTAATTTATGTCTAAATGTCCTTAGGTTTATTGTGTAATTAGCCCATGCGTTGGTCTATTAATAGCACACATCGTTATTGCCAAGTAGGTCATTCTCGTAGGTGTTTTGCATCAGAAACGCTTTGATATTATTATTGCTAATGCTTTTATGCAATTATTATTGTTAACGTTAAATCATTTCTGTACATCCCTTAATGTTGTCCTTGTTACTGTTGTATTAGTTTTGTAATTGTTACCATTATGTGCTCTGTTTTTTTGTATAGTTTATAATTTTGTAGTAAGTGGTGAATTTTAAGTCGTATGTTTTAGGTTGTACGTTGCTTTAGGTTGTTTGATTCGGGTCATATTTTACCTGTAACTTTAGGTTTTTTGTATACGTTGAAAATAAGTAACTGTGTGTGTAAAAACTAAAGTGTTTTAGTGACGGTGAGAAAGTTTATTTTATTATATCTTTTTGGTAATTAATAAATTATTATTTCTTTCACATTATTGATAATGTCGTAATTTATTAGTTAACGTAATGCTTATTCTTCAATATCTTTTCATAAATTTAGTTTCATTACATTCCCAACGGTTATTTGAATATTACGAAATGCTGAAAAGCGAAAGACCTACACATAAGTTTTACCAAGTTGTTCAAGCATAGCAATAATTCACTAGTTTTCGTGGTCCGCTTGACCAATTAATATCTTTCAATTAATTAAAAATTTTTAGTTGAGATAAAAAAGTCAGTGTCACGAGTGGGATTCGAACCCACGATCTTCGGCTAGATAACGCTGCTACTCTACCACTTGAGCTATCGTGACTTCGATCCAAAAGGTGGGGTTGAGATGGGGAGTTAGTGTCCGAGTGGATCGAAGTCACGATAGCTCAAGTGGTAAAGTAGCGGGGTATCAAGCCGAAGATCGTGGGTTCAAATCCCGCTCTTGACACTGACTTTTTTATTTCAACTAAAAACCTTAATTAATTGAAAAATAGCAATAATGTTCATTATTACACCAGCCAGCATCACCACATAAAATTATATTTGAAAACATACTACATAAATATTTATAGAATGAAACCGTTCGAACTATCTTTTATTGGGGAAAGGAAATAATTACTAGTTCAAATAATAAAATCCTGTTAAAACACCTTTCTAAAAAAAGTAAATGATTTTAATATACTGAGAGGCAAAAAAGTGGGAACGCTGGTTGTTTTTAGTAAATACAATAAATTTTATTTTTTATTTACAGTATATTTTCAAAGACATATATAAAATATAACAAAATAAAGATTAAACTGAGTAAAACCATTTTATTAAAAATTAATTCACTACTTTCGTGGTCCGCTTGACCAATTAATACATGACAGTTAATTAAGGTTTTTAGTTGAGATGAAAAAAAGTTAATGGCACGAGAGGGAAAATGGCAAAAGGAGGGAAAACTCATAAGGTGGGGTTGAGATGGAGAGTTGATGTCCGAGTGGATCGAGGCACGATAGCTCAGGTGGTAAAGCAGCGGCGTATCTAGCCGAAGGTCGTGGGTTCGAATCCCTCTCGTCCAATTAACTTTTTTTCATCTCAACTAAAAACCTTAATAAATTTTCATTTACTAAAAATGTTGCTGTGGAAATACTGAAGAAAAAATTCAATTCAATACGTAGTATTTCATTCT